TGGTTGGAGCCGTTTAATCAATGAAACATTGATCAATAATCGGATGTGTAACGATGGCAAAATGTAACCCTTCAGTTGCCTGTTTTCTATGACTTTGCATGTTTGTGTTTTTGAGGTAAAGCTCTTTGAAATGCCTTGCTGCTGAAATGTGCTACACAAATAATGTCGAACTTTCATACAAAGCGGATAAATAAATAAAAACTGTTAGAAGATCAAATAAAAAAGCCAGAAAACTGAATGAATGTCTTGCTAGATGAAAAATGATCTGAGTCCAACAATGTCTGCAGTCAAACTGATCGAAGACATGTCCCCTGTCCCCCCCAGGTGTCCTGCCCCCTCCTCAACAGGGTGGCGGACAGCAGCAGTTGGGCGGTGGGCGTGGCCCCGGACGCCATGAAGCTGCTGGAGAAGCAGAAGAACGCCGCTCAGGTGGTGGAGGCTAAGGTGGAGGGACTCACCTTCCTTCCTCCACCCGACGCCCTCTGTAACCAGGATGACCTCGACCGCTTCCTCGCACGCAGTGGCCCTGATCAAGGTGGTGGTTGCCATGACAACGACAACAGCAACACCAATGGGCTGGTTCAGGACCCTTCTCCGAAAAACCTCAGCCTCACTGGCAGCAATAACTCTGATAACAGTCACCATGACGATTCTGTTGAGGAATGTAGCAGTCTCCATGACAATGGTTTCCATGTGGACCAAAATGAACAGTAAGACAGTTCACTGTGAGACACGGTGTGTGTGTGTGTGTGTGTGTGTGTGTGTGATACCTTGTGGGACTGAAGCCTGGTCCCCACAAGGGGAAGCTCTGTTTTTGGGTCAGGGGTCAGAGTAGGGCTGGGGGATATGAGGAAAATCTGATATCCTGATATATTTTTGCTATATCACAGTAGACGATATATAATCACGATATTTTTAACTGAGCTCCAATGTTATTTTAAACTGTAGACCCCTTGCAGCATGATGCCACCCAGGCCAGCTCCCGCCCCATTTCCCTGCTAGACTTAAATGTAAGCTCATATAAAGAACGGTTTATGACTAGATAAAAAGGTGAGACATAAGTTTTAACCAAGAACAAAAATAGAGGGAAGAAGGTCAGTTATGCTTGACTTTCACAAACATAACATATAAATGTGCTGTGGAATAAGGTGTGTTTTGGTTCAGCTTAAAAATAAAAAAGTGACCTACACACAAACTGACAGATCATCAGTAAAGCAGGTGTTTAAATTGGCTAATCAGCCACTGCTGTGTTAGCATGGCTAATAACAGCGGTGGCTAAGCTACCACTGCTGTGTTAGCGTGGCTAATAACAGCGGTGGCTAAGCTACCACTGCTGTGTTAGCGTGGCTAACAGCAGCGGTGACGGTCTAGTTCTACCGGCTATGAACGGCATGTAAAAGAATAGCCTGATTAGGTGGTGAATTAAATCTGTGGTTCAGCCTTTTGTGGCAATAGTTTTATAACATGTTTCGCAAATGACATCATTTTGTTCGACATCCTCCATATAAAATCCAAACTACTGCCAAGTTATTGATGCAGCGCTGATTCTGTTTGGAACTAGTTCATCCGACTCTTCAGCCTCCGTCTCATTCACGGCTCAAACTCTCGCTGTCACCATGTTGTTTGTTTTCTCCGCACAACGTTGATTGGTAGGAAAATTTCAGGTTGGGAGGGGGAAGGTCTAGTGATGCATTCATAGGGTGTCAGATAAACCATACTCGCATTGAATTTGATGGGAAAAGTTTATTTGAACGACAATTTATACTGGGTAGTTGCAATATAGCCATTTTAACTATTGTAAATTGAAAATATTGCGATACATCGAGTGTGCTCGCTACATTGCCAAACCCTAGAGGTCAGATTTAGGACTAAGGTGTGAATTGAGTTTTGGTTAAGGTTAGGGTAAGGGTTAGGCTGTAGAAATGAATGGGAGTCAATGGAAAGTCACCACAAAGATAGCCACGCAAATGTGTGTGTGTGTGCAGATCCTTTTGTTATCTGCCATTTTTGACTGATGCCATGAAAACAATATCATCGTATTCTATTTTTATGACATGCTCTTCAGTTGCATTTAATTTTCATTTGGTTGTTTTTCAACGAGCTGCACAGAGAATCCGGCTCCCATAAACAGATGAACATATGAACTTTTTCTCTGCCCCAATAACTTCATACAAACAATGAAATTTAAGGCCTTCCCTTATATTATGAGCGCTTCACCTGCTGTGACCTGAACCACATCCTCAACTTCCTGCTTCACACCTGGAGGAGAAACAAAGCATCCAGCCCGACTGGACCCATCCAACTGTAATTAACTTTAATTTGAGGCCCAAAGCTGAATTAATCCCCACAGATTATTTGGATTTTGGATTAAGATTTACTGCTTCCGTTTTTATAGCACCATTTGAATAAGCAGTGTAACTTCTCCTGTTCTTAGCTTTTGTTTAATTTCTCCCAGCTCCATCTTGTCGCTTGTTGTAACTGCAGGGTGAGCAGAGCAGAGCGGCAGCATTAACTTCTGCCTCCTGCCAGCACAACAGAGTCGTTCTGCTTAGTTTCCTGTGCTCTGTATGCGCTGCCACTTGCTCCAAAGCATCCTGTCCATTAACTCCAGTCAGCAAGATGCATTTGTCCAGGTGAGACAGGATATTGAGATGGTATTAACAACATTTTGACGAATTGAGTTGTTTCTGCAATGTCCTCTGCGTAAATGTAAAAAATGTCTTTGCGTCGGCGCCAAGTATTCCGGGGTGTAAATTATCTGTCAAAATGAAAGAATTTTCTACCGTCTTCAGATTTTTCTGTCGTTTAGAAAAAAGGACTGTCAGATACGGAAAATAATAGGGATGCCGGTGTTTTCAGGTGAGACGACCAGAGCGATTCCAGGCGGGAATGCAGGCGATTCCAGGTGCGAATGCAGGCAATTCCAGGTGCGAATGTGGGCGATTCCAGGGGGGGCAATTCCAGCCGGGAATACAGGCGATTCCAGGTATTCGGGCCATTCCAGGTGCGAATACGGGCCATTCCAGGTGCAAATGCGGGCCATTCCAGGTGCAAATGTGGGTGATTCCAGGTGGGGCAATTCCAGGCGGAAATGCAGGCGATTCCAGGTGGGGCAATTCCAGGCGGGAATGTGGGCCATTCCAGGTGCGAATGCGGGCCATTCCAGATGAGACGGCAGGTGAGAGCTCAGGCAGTGTTTCCCCTCCCACAGGAAGCTGTCGGTGGCCCGTCTGCTCCACGCCTGTGAGGAGACAGTGGTGGAGTGGGTGGAGCTAGTGTCAGACTTTCTCCAGCAGGACTGGTCTGGACTGGTTCTGGACCGGCAGAAACCCGTCCCTTCAGAGGAGTTTTCCTTCTGGAAGAACCGTCTGAAGAACTTGCTCTTCATCCAGGACCAGGTGACGATGTCATCCTGATGATGTCATCTGATTATGTCACAGTAGCGTTCTGATGGCGGCTGTTTGTGTGTTCAGTTGCTGAGCGCCAAAGCCCAGCAGGTGAGCTCCATCCTGAAGGCTGAAGACAGCATCTACTGGGCAGCTCTGCAGGACCTCCAGAGACACGTCCAGGAAGGTGGACAGCGGCGTCCTCAGGACACATGCAGAGGCACCTGTCTATCTGTCTACCTGTCTGTCTGTCCCCTCAGGTGTCAGGGAAGCCGAAGACATCACGCTGCACCTGACCCCTGTCCAGCAGAAGCTCAGCGAGGTTCTAGAGATGGACTTCCTTCAGGTACCAGAACCAGCTGTACCTGCTGGGAGCTGATTGGTCCTCAGTCAGCTGACAGAAAGTCTGTCTGTGATTGGCAGCTGAAGGACAATGTGGCAGCAGTGATGGACAAGGTGGGCCTGCTGTGGACGGGCTCCGAGTTCTACTGCCGGCCCAGAAGGACCGTGGTTCTGCTGCAGGAGATCTGCAACCTCTACATCCAGCTGGTACTGAAGCCCGGAAGAACCCTGATTCTATTGGTCCTGGGTCCAGCTGCTTCCACTTCTGGTCTGAAGGAGGCGCTGTGGATCTGTGGCTCAGCGGGTTTTAATGTTGAAAACGTTACAAGTTAACAGGAAGCTTGAAAATGTGACATATAAAGATAATGATGTGTTAATGAAAACATTATGGACAAAACACCAACTGCACACACATAAATAAATGCAGATAAAATAATATTAAAGTCAATAAAAAGCCATTTCTTACAATGGACTTAAATCTCAATGAACAAACCAGCCAGTGGATCTTAAACCAAATTGCTGGTCACACTTAAAAGTTAATAAATTAAAATAAATATTAGGTTAACTCTCGCTGCAGAGTTAACCAGAACCTCCTGACCCCACGAGGTGTAAATGGATGGATGGATATTACATAAAATGGAGTCAGCATATTCACATATTTAACTAAATATTATAAGGGACTATACGTCGCTACTTTTTCCCGAAGCTTTGAACACTGTGGCCTCTACTAAGCCTGAAGGTTATTGATCAGTGCTATGGCAACTGATCCAATATCTGTGTCATTCGATAGACACTCTTGAAAAAATAAAGGATGCATGTAAAACCGTGAATTTAACAAAAAATTCTTTATTAAAAAATACCAATACAGAAATGACGATACAAAATCAGTTCTACAATTCCTTTTCTTTCATTCCAAAAACTACGCAGCTTACATGGTCAGAAAGTGTTTTGCTAGCTGGCTGTGCAATCCCTCCACACAGTGTTGTTTCTAATGTAATGCAAGACTCAACAGGAAGTAATCTTTTCAAAATAAAACCAAATTTCACAATAAAGCTGACCTGAACTGACTTTAACCTTTACTAAATATGACAAAAATAAGACATAATTCTTCCCCTTTAATTATTTAAATTAAATATTTAAATTAATTTAAATAATTCTAATTTATGACTCTAAGAGTTTATTTTTGTTTGGCGACGTGGCGCTGTTCCTGTAAGCTAAAGGCACCTAATAGTGCAGCTAGCTAGAAGCTAATAGTGCAGCTAGCTAGAAGCTAATAGTGCAGCTAGCTAGAAGCTAATAGTGCAGCTAGCTAGAAGCTAATAGTGCAGCTAGCT